CCATTGGTGGCCGATGGGTGTCTGGTAGCCCACCCCGCTCAATGGCATGCGGATTCGCTATCGGGGGCCCATCGCCGATCTAGGGGCGATGCCTCGCCGATCTGAGCTCGATTTCCCCCCCGTTCCCCCCCACCCCACCCCACCCACTCTTCCCCTGAGCTGCCCCCCCTAATGTTCCCCCTCGTAGAGGTCAGGCCACGGAGTCGACCCTGAGATCGAGGACAGCTGTCCAGAGCATGCGGGGGCAGGCGGAGGAGGAAGAGGAGGAGGAGGAGGAGGAGAGGAGGAGGAGGAGGAGGAGGAGGAGGAGGAGGAGGAGGAGGAGGGAGGCGGAGGAGAGGAGAGGAGGAGGAGGAGGAGGAGGAGGGATGAGGAGGGAGGAGGGGAGAGGAGGAGGAGGAGGAGGAGGAGGAGGAGGAGGAGGAGGAGGAGAGGAGGAGGAGGAGGAGCGGAGGAGGAGAGGAGGAGGAGGAGAGGAGGAGGAGGGAGGGAGGGAGGGAGGGAGGGAGGGAGGGAGGAGAGGCGGCGGGCGGGCGGGCGGGCGGGCGGGCGGCGGGCGGTGGGGCGGGAGGAGGAGGAGGAGGGAGGAGTGAGGAGGAGGAGGAGGAGGAGTATGGAGGAGGAGGAGAGGAGGAGGAGGAGGAGAAGAAGGAGTTGGAGTGAGGAGGCGGAGGAGGGGGAGGAAGGAAGGAAGGAAGGAAGGAAGGAAGGAGGGAGGGAGGGAGGGAGGGAGGGAGGGGTACGGCCGACCAGGAGGGGATACCGGTATCCGACCTCATACCCTTCTCTTTCTTTCATATCATCTTGTGACCTTCCAGGGCCCTCCTCCCTCCTTCTCCTCTCGCTCCACTTCCTTCTCCTCCTCCTCCCCCCTCTCCTCCTGCCTCTCCCTGCTCCTGCTCCTCCTCCTCCTCCTGCCTCTCACTGTCACTGCTCCTGCTCCTCCTCCTCCTTCCTCCTCCTCCCCCCCTTCGCCTCCCCCTCCTTTTCTTCCTTCAGCCTGGTTTTCGGGGTCTCCAGACCTTGGGATTTTTAAAAATTTTAAAAA